ATATATATATATATATATATATACATATTCTGTAACGAACGAAGAAACAAATTTCTAAAACGAATTAATTAGTTATAAGATTGTATAATATAAGACTGTATAGTATTCGCATTAGTATTTTAATATTAACATGGCCATCTTACACCGATCTTCCCTATCTATTGCAGTCATAAATCAATACTGTCACATTCAATTTTAACTTACCCCGGAAGTATCTTCACCGGATATGGATACCCTCTGGAAGTGCGGGACAAAATCATTCTCCTCGAGATTGAAGAGATGATCAACATCATCTGGTATACCAGGGCCGAGCGATGGTTCATAATGGCTACGACGTTCTTCTAAATCCTTGGCAGCTCTGAAAGAATACTCTAAACATGATTTCTTTTACTCACAGCAGCAGATCATCAGAAATCTGAATGGCGATTAAAAGAGCAAGCGTCGGTAAGTCGTAAAGTTTACACGAGATATGATACATACTGACACAACTAATCTGTAAAAAGGATATAGAATAACAGGTACTTAAAATAATTTATATGCGAGAAATCAATTTATTTACACGGTTAAGAATCAAGGAACAACTACTAAGTATTGGTATATTATATAAGCAAGAAATCAATTACGTTTGGAAGAGTTGTTATAGTTTGGGTAAAAAAAATACTTTGATAAGTTTCGTGAGAATGCACTCTTTTTCTTCTTTTTAGTGACATAATAAAATTAGATGTTAAATAGAGAAAGTGAAGAGTTAATTATTAAATGTTAAATTCGCTCGTTCCCATAGGAATATTTTAATTTAGTTACATTTTACATTTTATTCAAATTGACACATTGCAATTCTTATAAATCCTGAGTCAAAATACTTTCAATACTTTGAATTCGTAAAAGACAAATTCACTGCTGAAACATGCTATAATTTTCCATGTATAAAAAAAAATTTTTGCATTAACTGCGAAATTACTAGACTAACATAGTTATCCATAGTTTTATAATTATTGTTTTATTCAATGTTGAAATTACGTGAAACGTAAAAAATATTTATTTCTGTATTACTTTAGTAATGTATAATGTGTACAAAATAAAAAATAACATTCCGCACTTTAAATACGTATTTCTATTAATAACTAAATATATGCTATTATGTAAAATAAACAACTGAATAAATGAAAAGTTATGATACGATAATCTCATAAGTTAAAAATTAAAAAATAAATACTAGGAAAATTTTTCCTAAATAAAGAGAATAATTTTCAATTCCTATATATATATTATCATTATATATATATATATATATCATTACAATTATAATTATAATATAATCGTTAAATATATTTAAAATGACCAATCTATTCATTGTATCATTAATTTTTACGTCGCATTTATATTATTATTAAATTGTATAGATATTGGTTATTAAATTAGAGACATTCACAATTTTCACCATCTTACAAGCTTTTAATAAAATTGATCTGAACGCTACTTGATAATAAGTTTTATTAAGTATTAAAGTACATACATTGTATAAGTATAAAATATGCATAGCATTGTACATATAAAAAAAAATTATGTGTTTATTAAAGAAAAAAAAAATTTTTATCCAACTTTGTTAACTTTTTTTTAACAATATATTCACCTTTCTTCCTTAATGTTTTCGTTTCAGTTGCATTCATTTTCCAAATAAGACTGTAACTTGGACAAACATAAGTTATCCTGCTTGGACCAATACAATTTATCTTTCCATCTTCAATTATATATATTTTTTTTTATTTAACTTTAAGTGGAAATTTCAATAAAAAATTATAAACTACATAAAGTTTATACAGAATTTCATAATTACATTTGTTGCAATAAAAATGTATAATTTTATTTAAAAAAGAAACTTCAATGTGAATTGACAATTTCAGGAAATCCATAAAAAATCCATAAATTCTCCTTCGTCGTAATATTTCTCTCTCTACAACAAATATTTTTTTTCTTTTTAGAAAATTCTTATTCTAATGATGATTTTAATACAATTTCTTCCTTCGTGAAGGAATCAATTCTCACATAGCAGATTCATGAAAGTTTCATGTCATTTGCTTCTTAAACACATATTATTTTTTATATTATAAGTTGTCATTTATTTTTATCCTTGGGTTATCATTACGATAAAAAAAATTATTCTCGTGTAAATTATGCTGTTCACTTCCAGTTCACATACATTAAATAAAAAATCATTTCACGATATAAAATATTTCCATGGAAAGAGAAGTGTAAAATCCTTTCAACGAGGTAAGTTTTAAAGCGTTAAAATATATAAATATACCAAATAAGTTAACTTAACAAATAAGTAATTTATTATTCTCTTTAATATAATCGCATATGATTTCTGCAAACAAAAGAAGACACTTTTGAAAATAAACTGTTACAATATTTGCACGTATACATATATAGAATGTCCCAGTTTTCATGGTACAACTGAATAGGGAATTATTTTACATGTAGAAATAAAACGAAAAGAGAGAATAACATTGTCCTACTTAAAATTTCATTTCCAAAAAAAAGTCGAATTTGAAAAATTTCATACATTCCGGACAGACGTGTGGAACGATTTTATTCTATTAAGTATGAAAATTAATTCGCTGTCTTTTTTTACATAAACTTGTCATTTATTTATTGATTTTACTTTTATGAAAATTTAGAAAATTATTTCCTGGATTATTCAGTATTTTGTACAAATTCTTCTCGCATTTGACGAGAGTTTTAATAATAATTGTCCAAACCTTCTTCTATTTTTGACTTATTTAAGATTTCATTTTCAAAGGAATCAACTTTTGAAAATTTGCCAAGTACATTTGAATTTATCAAATTTTATACTAGATAATTTTATTTTATATTTTCGGTTTATTTTTGCGCATAAAATCATCCTCTTTTCGATTATATATTTTTGCAAAACATTTCAAAGCAAATAACACAAAACTATTCAACATCTGTTACCAATCAGTAAAACAGGAGAAGATAAAATAGAAATTTGTTTTACCTAGTGTATATTATATTATGATACCTTATTTTAAATATCTTACACATTTTTACGTATTATATGCATTTTTGCAACTTTCACTCTCTTCCTCTTGCATTATACCATATATTAAATCGTGTAAAATATTTCAAAGCAAATAACAATGAAACTGTTCAATATCTGTGTACTGAACAGTGGATGGTTTTATAAAACAAAAGAAGCCTGGGATAAAAGAAAAAATTGCATTAATAAATTATTAATCGATGGTCAAAACTTGGGAATTTTCTGCTTGTTAAATGTTTTTTTTTTTTCTTGTGTCATTGCACAGTGGTGGACAAAAGAAAATTTGAAATTGATATCTGTCTGTATAATATTAAGAATTAGTAACTTTCATACCATTTTTCTTTTAATCAACATTCATAGCTATATAGTTGTTCACAAAGTATTTAAGAGTTTTTATGAATATATCATTTACGTTGTATAAAACATTTTAAGATTTTATTAACACTATAATGAGCTCATATTATCGAGATTATATTGATCAAGTCTGAGACAGGTTTAAAAATATATATAGAAATTAAAAGATATTTAATGAATAATTCTTAATAAGACCATAACACTTATCATATGTATACCTGAGATAGCTACCCATGTCGTATACTAATTTCTTGCTAAACATAACGTATTATACATATTTTGTATATTTAAAAGAAATATCTTGTAATTTTTATATACATTTCTAGATAATTTTCAAATTTTATCAATATGATTCTAATCTCTTTTATCAACATAATTCTAATACAGAGTTTTCTCAATGTTGATGAAATTTCTCTATAATTATTTGAATACTTTCTCGAACCACAGTGTATCAAATGTTACATCCATTTTTATAAAATCATAGAATTATCTGGTGCTTAAACTTCCTTCTGTCCTCCACTCTAATTACCAGAAAGTTTTCCTGTTTCTAACGTTAGATAGCTCACCCTTTGTGTTCCCAATGTATTTACAAATCTGTAAAGTGAATACAAGGAATAATAGACACAAATATACGTACGTAGCAAAGGGGTAATAATGTGACTATCATACTATCAGCTTTTGAGAGTGATGATGCTAGATCGAGTTAAAATACCTACTGTACAGGATGATAAAATCGCGGATATATAGAACACTGCGTGTATATACTGCATATAGTTTCACAAAGAGTTCAACTGATTAGCATAGGCATACTTCTATCAGAGGAAAAAAAATTCAAAACTTAAAAAGCTGCTGTTAAAAAAATCGTCGCTGGCAAACCTACGTTTCATTCTAAGTAATTTCTAAACTTTCGCTCGTACAGAACGAAGTGTTGCGTAATTTGCCACGGTGAGAAAGAGAACGAAATTAAAAATTAATTATTACAGTCGAACTAAAATGGTAAAAATGTTAAAAGAATATAGCATTGCCATCGAACGAGAAAAGAAAAATCATTGAACACACGCTAACGTATTTAAGTAAATGTATCGAACCTAACGTTTCCGTTCAACCGGTTCAGGACGGGTGCATATCGTTTGCTACATATACGTATTAACAACTCCAACTATTTCGCGAATGATTAACAATTTTTTCGGTGATTACATACTTCTACGCAAATTACAACCAACAGTATACAAAATTAAAAATTATAAATTATAATGAAATAAAGTAATTATAAAACTATTATTTAACATATAACACAAATTGTAATTTGCAACTATGAACTACGAACTAACATAAATTGTAATACAAAATATGATGTTTAATGTGTATTTTATATTATAAATATGTGACATAAAATTGTTGAATATAATAAAATAAAGTAGAATAATCATGAAATATAGAATTGTAATCTAACATTTCATTAATATAAATTATAACCTACATATTTAATTTACATTTTACAGTATTTACGAATTTCGAGTGTCACTCATTTTACAATCGTAAACTTTTTAAATGATGTAATAACTGACGCTAATTATTTATAAAATAGGACAATTTTTCTTTCATTATTGTCGTCGAAGATGGATAAAAATTTCATTGGGAATTAAAAAAAGGAGCAATCGAAAGTAAATTATAAAATAAATAAGAGAAATCATAAAGCTGTATAGAAGCTTATTTGCTTAATTTTCTAAATAACAAATAACAAAGTTTGTTTTAAATAATAAAAAGTCTCTGTACACTTTTTTCGAATGTCTACGAAAAAGAAATAGTTTTCTATTTTTAATTCGTCTTGCCATTTTCGTTTGTAACACTTTAATCGAAAGTATCATTTGAAAATATGATTGGAAACGACATTTTCATTTACTAATCAATCATCTGAGTTAAACACCTTTCTCTTCGTACTGAGAGAAAAAAAAAAATGTATTATTTATACTATACGAGAAGAAAGACAGCAAGATTCGAAACAAAAATGACTATAACAAGTCCGAGTTCTCTATTATTGATCCCCTCGGAAATTATTACACAAGAAAGAAATTCTGGAAAATCATCATTTGCCGATCAAATAACAAACTCTGGTTTCCTCAGCGAGAGTATCTCTTTCATTTCTTGAGAAATCCGTCCTGAAAGGGTTAAAGGATGTGAGCAATCATGATGACGGCGTTTTAATTTACCTCAGGAGTATCCTATTATCCCTGAGCCATCGTTTCGATTCGTTCGCACCAGCGAACATGTTACACAATCCTTCTCTCGTATTTTTCTGTTGCATGCACGCTGGACAGCGTCCGAAAAACGAAATGTTCTCGTAAGCAAATTGTTCCTCTCTTGTTGTACGCTGTCTTGTTTTTCATTTCTTTCTTTTCCCTTTACTTATCGGAAATTCAGCAAACGTTTGACAATAAACGCTTTTATTATTTGTCTTTTTTTTTTTTTTTTATTAGTAGATTCTATTACTTAGTTTGCTTCAATTTTCAAATCCTTCATTTCATCAAACGAACGTCTAA